GGACTGGTTTTGGGGGTTTGGGTATGTTGTTGGTTTCTGTTCAGGGAAGGAGATGGGCCGCTTCTTTAAGTAGGTATAGCATATATATAGGAGGCGCTACATTATACTCCTCCTATATATATGCTATACCTCTCGCCCTTTTTGAGCTTAAATATAGCGATGTTATTCACCGCGCTATACCTTAACGAATAAACATATCGTTAAAATATAGTGCAGTGAATAATCGCGCTATATATAAAATGGTAGTCAGTTTTTCTTTTACACATATTTGTGTCATTTGAGTCCAAAAAGACCGCAATTAGGTTTCGAACTCTATATAAGAGGAGTTATGTCAATAACACTTTCTCTTCCTACTTAAATTAGGCTCCAAATCTGCGATGTTAAGTAGCATAAATGGAGGTACCTCTTGATGAAAATCAGCAAGTCTCTTACGAGATGACAAAGTTCATTTAAGTTTCATATAGCGTTTATCTTTTCTTGATAGTAGCGAGAAATTAATTGATCATGTAGCCGAAGCAACTGAAGGTACTGAGGAAGGAGAGAATTATTAGGCATTATCAGTGATTTTTCAAGTATACTTTGTTTGAGGTGACATAAACAATTTTATCTTGGTAAGTGAAAATAATTTTTTTTTAGTTCTTTTAGGTTAAGATTTGCTCTCTCTCTCTCTGCATTATCTAATGCAAGTCCTCCTTTCTACAGTTTTAAAATTGTTATTTTTCTATTAAAAAGTTCATGAACATGAAAGTAAATGAAAACATAATTGTTCCAATGAGAAAATAATCTTTTATGGCTACTTAAAATTTGAATAAAAAGATGACTTTTCAGATTTCTTATGTGTCATTTTCTGGTCTCTTATGTATAAAAATGAAAATTTCTTATAAAAAAGACATAAACTAAAATTAAGTTTGTAAAGCATTAAAAAACTTTTACAAATGGATACAATTGAGAGATACCAAATCTGAAGGCCTTAAATATTGTATTATTTAGAGATACCAAATATGTAGTAGTAAAAGCTCAGAAAAGAATGCAAGGCGTTTTGAGCCAAACTCAAAATAAAGATTGAGATAAATATACGACTTCAAGGTTGAGATAAGACATGAATTCAAGATATCGAACCTGGGTCATAATATAAGTTAAAACATCATAGAAGTTTACCCATAAATGTTAAAGTACGGCCTAGAAAAGATATAGAGAAAGGTAAGGGGGAAAAAAAGAGAAGTACATTCGCCAAATGTTAGTGAGTGGATTTGCTGAAGATAGGAGAAAGGCCCAAAGTGTGTCACGACAGGAACAAAGGTCAGGCAAGGTTGGATATGATACAAAATACTAAACAATTGTATCAAATTGATTAAAAGTATGAAAAGATGGCAACTTTATTTTTATTTGGGAAAATGCTTAAGTACCCCTTGACCTATACTCTAATTTTCAATTACACACTTTACCTTTGCGAGATTTTTATTACCTTTCTAAACTATTTTAAAGTTTGAATTATTTGCACCCTTAAAGCTAAAGTGACAGAGCGGGTGTATTCCAAGCAAGAAAAAACGATTTTTAAATTTTTTTTTTGCTTTTTTTTTTTTACCATTTCTTCTTACTTTTTTTCCCTTTTCCTTTTCCTTTTCCTTTTCCTTTTTCTTTTACTTCTTTTTTCGTTTCTTCTCTAATTCCGGTGGATATTCATTCACCGGCAACTTTGTCTAATCGTTTTTCTGCTATTTATTCTGTTTTTCTTTTTCCTCTTTCTATCCTTTTCACACACAAATTAAACTCTCATAAAGATCTATTCATAAGCAAAGCAAAATACATTTAGATTTGGGGGAAAAAATTCATCATCGGAAAATCTTCCCACGCCGGAAAATATTGAGGTATTAAAATTTTAACTGGATAAAGTCTTCTCAGCTTATATTCGTTTTTCTTTCTTTTGCTCTTCCTCCCACACATATATTACACTTTGAAAAAAAATCTATATATATATAAAGCAAAACAAACTCAGACCTGGATAAAAATCTGTTGTCGGAAAAAAAAATCACCGGAAAAAATGGTGTTCTTGAAATTCTGACGACCACCATTTTATGCCGCCGGTGACCAAAACAAAAAGAAAGATAATGAAATAATTAAAAAAATGAGAATAATAAGAAATAAGAAAAAAGGATAAGAAAAAGAAGAAAGAACAAAAAAAAGTACTAAATATACATGTGGCAGCGCGTGTAGTTCACCACTTGCCAAGAGTTTGGTTGTCTAGATTTAGGGTGCTATTTATTCCATTTAAAAAAAGTTTAGAGGGTAATAGAATTCCCGCAAAGATAAAGTGTGTAGTTGAAAATTCGGGTATAGTTCAGGATACTTATGCATTTTCCCTTTTTATTTCTCAATTTAGCTTGCTTGATTATTGTTACATAATTTACCTCTGTTACTTATGCAAGGCTGTCTCAAGACTCTCAACTACATTTAGTGGATGCTTATCTGCTACGAAGAATGAATAGTACAGATAATTAATACTACGATCTTAATCAACAGATTCATTATTTTTTTAATTTATTTTAGTAATAGATTGTTAGAATTGGGCATAAGTGCATGACTTTTTAGAGTTATTACTACTTCTACAGGGATTTTAGAGTTAGTACATAATAAGATGGATGATTTTTGGATTCAAATTTAGTACTGTAAGGTTTCTCGCAATGAATACAGAAAGAAGAGGAAGTAATGATGATTAAAATTAGCTACCATAATATTTTAATATGAAAAGAACGACGAAATTCTGACCGCTGAGCAATATGCATGCTAATATATTTCAATAAAAATATTTTAAAGTCAATATATATATATATATACATATATATATATATATCGCCTTGGTTTAATAATTGTGTCTCCAATCAGTCTATACAAAACACCTATCTCCCATTCATATACATAATCTGAGCACGTAGAACAGACAAACAAATTATGGCAATTTCATCCATATGCCATTAAAATTCAAAAATAAATATAATATGCTTTGTCTACAATATTAGTCCTTTTAATCTTTACAAAGAGCACCGAGTCGAGGGAAGTGGGCATGGACGTGATGCTTGAGTCACAGGTCATCCCCAAGAGAAGCAGTTTCAAGTACCTTAGGTCGGTTATACAGGGGGATGGGAAGATCGTCAAAGATGTTGCGCACGTATAGGAGTGGGGTGGATGAAGTGGAGGTTAGCATCTGGAGTCCTATGTGACAAGAAGGTGTCACTAAGGCTCAAAGGTAAGTTCTATAGAGCGGTGGTTAGACCAGTCATGTTGTATGAGATAGAGTGTTGGCCGGTTGAGGTATATCCAGAGAATGAAAGTAGCAGAAATGAGGATGTTGAGGTGGATGTGTGGGCACACTAGGATGGATAAGATTATAAATGAAGATATTCGGGAGAAGGTGGGCGTGGACCCGATGGATGACAAGATGCGGGAAGCTAGGCTCAGATGGTTCGGGCACGTGCGGAGGAGAACCAAACGCCCCAGTAAGGAGATGTGAGCGGTTGGCTTTGACAAGTATGAGAAGATGTAGAGGGCGGTCCAAGAAGTATTGGGGAGAGGTGATCAGGCAGGACATGACGAGGCTTCAGATTTCCGAGGACATGGCCCTTGATAGGAAGGTGTGGAGGTCTAGCATTAGGGTTGTAGGATAGGGGGTAGCGAAGCTCTTTGCTACTCTGCACCGGGTGAGAGGCTAGTCTGTCAGGGTTGTGTCCTAGAGTGCTAGTGGTTATTGTTGTGTCCACACTTCTCTTTCACTTTTCATAGTACCGAACCTTTCTTACGTGCTACTGTTATTATTTTTCATCTATGTTCTGGTACTTTTGATTCTGTTATTATTTTTATGCTCTTTGCTGTTGGTACTGATATATTATCTTTTTCGTCTGCTTGAGCCGAGGGTCTATCGGAAACAGCCTCTCTATCCCTTGGAGTAAGGGTAAGGTCTGCGTACACTCTACCCTTCCCAAACCCCACTTGTGGAATTTTACTGGGTTGTTGTTGTTGTTGTTAATCTTTAAAAAGAAGTCATAATAATTTTAACATTTCTCATTATACTGCTTCATAGTCAAGGGTCATTCAATCATTTTTAGCTAAATTGTGAAGTCATTTACTGAGTATCACAATCATCATTTTAGGAATCTGTGTTGTATTCTTTTTTTATTTTATTACTCGAATATATATTTAAACAACTAATAAAGTCTATTAAATAATCAAGAATATACGTGAAACGCACGTGTCAAGATACTAGTAAACAGAAATTTGTGAGTGAAAACTGTAATTGAAGGGAACAAAATGTCAAGTTTTTGTCTACAAGTGAATGAAAATAGCTAGCAAACATCCAAAACTTTATTATGCAGAAGATTTTAAGTCAAAACTGGAAACTAAATCCTAGCATTCACCATAATACATATATTAACTATATGAAAACTCTGTGTCCTCCTCTCTGTTACTTCTTTCCCATGCATTTGTCATCAGCTGATAATGAATCTTTGTAATGGACTTCAATTTATGAATCAGGAACTCTCAATATCAAACCTCCATTTACAGACCTCATAATATACCAAGGCTCTTGTTCTTTTGTTTCAGCTATATATGTTGAACATGAAATATTTGTAATGTAGTGTTTAATTATCGTCGTAAACCTTCAAGTGCAAGCCTTACAGTTAACCAATTACAAACCTCACTCATTTCCTTTGGCACTGTGTAATGACCTAGTCTGTAGAGTGGAATAAGTTGGTATAGTTTAGACAACTCTTTCTTAAGTCGTGAGAAGTACAATTTTGCTGCTATAGAGAAAAAGAAGGGTTACCCGTCATAGGCTTTGAATTGAAGATTCCTGAATCCAGCTGAGCTCAAGACATGGTAAGCCCTCTCTCCATATCTATAAGGAACAACTTCATCGCCTAGCAAGTACAAATAACAGTGTAAAATGGTGAGTTACATTAGTCAATTTGCACTACAAGCTGTAAACAACAAGATGGCTCTTTGGAGCAAGGTTAAGATAGCCTTATTCATAAGAACTGCAGATCACTAGTAGATGCATGTCCGCTATCTAAGTATGCAGAACGCACTGAAGGGAAAGAAATGACAAGGTTTTAAAACCAATAATTGCGAGTGAAGTGCATACATTTTCCATGACAGAGTAGAATGGGTAAAGATGCAGCACATCTTACAGCCTCATGCGATCCTTCAATCTTGTTCCTCACATTCCTGCAGAATATCAGTAGTTAACTCCAAAGTGCTTTTGCTTTGTTGAATTAACTCCAAAGTGCTTTTGCTTTGTTGAACAAAAAAAAGAAAAGAAAAGAGGAACACAGGAGATGATTCTTCCTTCCCTCTCCTTTTGGATAGTTCATTTTTATATTAAAAACTTTTACATTTCAAGAAACTAACTCAATAGAATATATTCCGCACAATTGATAGACATAAAGTTGGAGCAATACCTAGTGCATGTGATAAACCATATTATTCCTCAAGCTAAAAAGGGAAACAAAGAGGAGAGAATCAACAGAGCTATATATATATATATATATATATNCGTAAGATATAGCAAAATTGCTAATCAGACAAAGGATTTCATTTTTTTTGGGAGACAATATCAATATTATCACTCTACACGAGCATTCACATTAGTATTCCTCATCTTAGTGAATTAATTTTCAGACAAAGAATACAGAGGATATACCAGCTCATGGTGAAGAACTTACCGTCAGCTGGTTCAGTTGACAATAAGTTCGCGATATGTGCAACTGAAGCCTCTAAGCCTTCGAGATCATCAGTAGTGTCATCAGAAAGTTCTCCCGCGTCAAACCCTGGAATAAGATGCAGATCCCTTTAGATGACAGTTATAAAGGTCACCATATCAGAGTTTCCGGGTACATTCTTACATGCAGTGCAAGGAAATCCACCAAGCATAGCCACAGGACGAGTCGGGGCTGTTGGACATATCCATTTGATCTACAAAGGTCATATAGGGAACAATTATAGTCTAGTCTGGAACAAGGAAGAATGTACATCAATTGAAAAGCAATGTTGCAAGAATGCACCCTAACCACATAAAGCAAATAAGTTATTTTTTCTGCATTCACCACTTACATTAGGAGTAGATAGGCTTTCCAAGAGTTGAGAAGAACTGCAAAAAGAAACAAAAAAATTAGCAGACACTACAAAACATTGCTTGACTTTTCTTTAGGTACAACAACATACTTAGTCCAATCCGACAAGTGGGATCTAGGGAGGATAGTGTATACGCAACCTTACCCCTACCTTGTGCAGGTAAAGAGGTTGTTTCCGATAGATACTCGGCTCAAAACAAGCATGCATAATCACACCAGAATAGAGAAAGAAATGCTTGAGTTTTCTTTAGGTAGAAAACTAAAAATGGTTGCTTTGCATTTTCTCCTTTATCCTAGTTAACCAAGAATCTTAACATAGAAGTAAGCTAAAAAACATCTAACATTCAATGACTTCCTTATAGGACATGTCAAAACGTTGACATTCTCTTAACCAATTGTTCTTCTCTTGCTTTGTCAACGATCCCACACATCATTACAAACTTTATTCAAACGATTGGTACAGTGAACTCCACTAAGGGAACAGAATATCTGGCTAGTGAGTGATGCCATTATTTCTGTAGTTGCTTTTACATTTTGAAAGTGAAAATGAAGGAAAGAAACAGGTAATTTGAACAATAATTTGTAGGTTTCTCCAAAGGAAGATCAAAGGCAATAAAGAAGTGCAGAAGACAGGAAATACACTAAAGTGATGTCTTATCTTGGGTACTTTATCCAATTCCTTTGCTTCAGATTAGAGAAAGTTTGGCTTAAGGAAGCACCCTTTTTTAAAAATTTAACCATAGAATGTTCGGCTTAAAAGCAAAAAAGAACCTACCTTGAGCCATTATCACCAAGGCCGTGCAGCCAAATTATTGTAGCCTGGTGTTTTCCTTTAGGCCTCACAACATATGTCCTCCCGAACTCCAGAGCTCTCCTAGCAGTTCTACTTCCTGTAATATTGTTAACCAAGTTAAATTATTCGAGTGGCAAATGCTTCAAGGGAGAAAAATGTGTCCTAATCTCATTATAACTAGCACAATGTGAATGTAGCTTCACATATTTAAAGCCAAAAGGCCTTAAGATCTTTAGTTTCTTTCTTCTACAAATTGAAGCGACAAGGAACTGAATCTCAGTGGATAGTGGCAGTAAGGCCAAAAGTCCTTAAACTAATTATAACCCTTCTAAAGGATGACATAATGCAAAGTTTGGTGAAGAACATAAAAGAAAGAAAAACTTAAAAATTGCAACTAACCAGAGCCCATAGAAGGATTCATATAACTCATATCTGCCTTCAGAAATGAAACCCAACCTTCACTATAGTTTTGAAAGGCCACCTACAATAATGAACTGAGATGAGTTGAAGACAATACAAAGCGATAATGCCCTATTTATACACAAAAGGAGTAGGTGCAAAAATCGAATAAAACATGTGAATATGCAAAAACAAGTATGTGAGAAACAGCTGCAAATTGTGCCTAATACCACCACCTAGAAACTGATAAAGAAATATGGAGGGCATCAGTGAAAAGGAATGCAAAGCAAATGGGAAAAAAGCATGCAATCTTTTCAACCGTGGAAAGAAGAGAATCAAAAGAAAAACCAGCAAAATCACAATTCATCCGTCCATTTTTCCTAAAGAGGGTTCTAGATTTTACAGAATGGAAAAGAATCTATACCAAATGCACAACTACAGCTTCAAGAATATTACTGAAAGTAAGAAGGAATAGTACCAAGTTGTATTATAGGTCATGGTTCGAGCCGTGGAATCATCCATTTATGCTTGCATCAAGGTAGCCTACCTACATCACACTTCGTTGGGGTGTGGCCCTTCCCGGGGCCCTACGTAAATGCGAGATGCTTTGTGCACTCGTTGTATTGGGAAAAATTAAGTTCATATATGGAAGTTATTATAAGATGACACGTCATGACACGTGGACCAGTCAAAGGAGGATAGGTGGCAAAGAATAATCAAACAGGCACGAGCTTCAACAGGCACGGGCAGATATTCAGAAAGATAGACGCTCGAATCTCTTTATGATTAAAGAGAATGAATTTGATAGTAAATGAGGTTTAGATACGTATTATTGGACATTAAATACGGAAAACGTTAAGGAATCTGTAATGAATCAAATATGATAACCAATTGTAACGTTACATTAGGCCATTAAATGCCATTAATTGTCAATAATGACTCTGTTATGGTAGAAACAAAACGTATTACCTAGAGATAGCTATAAAAGGAGATGACTGATCATTTGTAAAGACACGAAATACTATTGAAATATATTGATTTACTTTCCATTATATCCAGCTACTATTTATCAATTATTCTTATTTCTATTTGATTGTTAGTAACCTGAGTTCTTCTAAAATAAGCTTTGAACGAAATCCCAATTTTTGGTTAAACAAATTGGTTCTGTTGCCGGGAATCTGATAGTCGTTTGCTTTCTTAATCAATTCTTTCATCAAAAAACTTACCATGTCAAATAACAACGACAACAACCAACAAGATCCTCAAAATCAGGAGAATGATATGGGTGACAGGACCCCACTTCCCTCACCGCGTGATTCACAACGTCAGTCACGAGAAGGAACTCTAGATGGCTCTGAAACAAATAACGGGATTGCAAACCAAAACGGATTTGAGGCAAATCAAAATACTGGAGTTGCGAACGAACAAGCACTCGATGATGCTCTGAAGAATCTAATTGCTCAACAAGTCAGTAATGCTCTCCGAGCTTTTACCAGCCAGTTGCCAGTTGCGCCACCAACACCAACNAGTAATGCTCTCCGAGCTTTTACCAGCCAGTTGCGAGTTGTGCCACCAACACCAACTCCGAATCAGAATACTTTGGAAAACCCACGTTCTGGGCTCGTTAATTCAGGCACTGGTAGAACTCCCAGCGAGTTTCGTGATGGCGAACCAGGTAACATAGTTAATTCTGATTTACAAAATTTAGTTCTAACCTTGCAGAAGCAGCTCAAGGAGCAAAGCGATCGCATAGAGCAAATACCGGGAGTACCACATGTAATCAAAGGAATAGACATGGATAAATACTCACAACAACCATGGAAGCCTAGTGGTGCTCCATTGCCGATCCCGAAGAAGTTCAAGATGCCTGATATTCCAAAGTATGATGGCACAACTGATCCACGAGACCATGTGACTGCATTCACAACTGGTGTGAAAGGCAACGATTTAACCAAACGGAAAATAGAGTCAGTATTGGTCAAGAAATTCGGTGAAACACTCACCAAGGGTGTATTAACATGGTATTCTCTCTTACCCAAAAATTCTATAAATTCTTTTACTGAGCTTGCAGATTCATTTATCAAAGCACATTCGGGGGCTCAAAAAGTTAAAAAAAAAAATGGAAGATATTTTTAAAATCAAGCAAGGAGATTCAGAGTTGCTTAGAGAGTTCGTGGATAGGTTCCAGCGTGAAAGGATGATGTTATCACGCGTACCTGATAACTGGGCAGCTATGTGTAAGCACGTGATTTTTGACCCTCCCCGAGAATTTTCACATTTTTTGCGTGAATATGTGAA